GGATTACATAACAAGGCTTATAGTGTAAACCTTCATTAGTGGACATTTGACAATATTGGATCCCTAGTGGTTTCGGTGTGTATCACTGCTACTAACTAAATGCCACTTTATGATCTCAATAGTAATATGTAAGAACTTGTATCTATTTTTTTTTAAATTAAATTCTTAAAACTAAAATACCCAAAAGTAAAAGATGACCACCCTTTACATAAGAAAAGAAAAAAAATGAAGCTTTTTTGACCTACCTGTCAGGCGAAGGTGTTGACCTGCTAAAGGTCGTCTCATGAGCTACACCTGGTAGAGATTTTCTGCTGACTTCCCTCTTGAGCATGTCCTCCAAGGGATCCACCATTGACCACGTCTGTAGCCGTGAGTGCAGCCTCTGTGATCTGCCGTGGTGAAGACATCAAGATGGTTAGTGAGGTGAACGGACATTGGGTATTACTATTAGACATCAAAACTGAGGCAACAAGCGTTACAAAAGCAAGAGTCCACAAAATAAACTGTTAATTTATAATAATTATCATTTTGGATTTAACTTAAAACTTAAGTCTAAGTAGGTTTTCCCAAAATTTTCAGTAACAAAATAAATGTTAAAAAATTGTTCAGAAAAGAGCTATTTTGTATCATTGTATCATATTGTATGCCTATATGAAACATGTCATTTTAAAAATTCATTGTATATAAGTGGTATAAAGAAAGACATCACATATTTATTATTAAGTGATTTCTTTGAGGAAAAATGAGACAGCATGAATGTCCAAACAAATTCAGTAACTTAAAAATAAGCTTATTTATTTGAATTTCTAACTTCTAAAAGACTTTCTTCATTTAAAATACTAAATAAAGAACATTGGTTGCCTTTTGTAAGACTCTTACTCTTTGATTTACTCCTCCCCCAACCCTCCACCAAGAAAATAATGGATTTTTTTTCAAATTGATAATTTACAAAAAGAATTTAATTTTCTAAAGCTAGTACTAGTACTAGTACCGACAAATTGATGTGAGAATCAAACAACTTTTTTAAATAAACTGGAGACAGGAGAAACAGTCTTGTACCTTTAAAATTTTAAAGCAAAATAAATTGGCTAACATATTTCAATATTCACTAATAATATTGGCAGCATAATGCCCATAGAAGCGTGAGGCGCCCTAGACGTGTACGGTTTCCTAGAGGCGTGAGGCCCCTTAGACTTTTTAAAGCCACGAGACCACATAGAGAGGCGTGAGACCCTGGGCAAGTGAGCAGTGTGTCCATGCCTTAAGACTGCACCCCTTTTCTCCACTAATTTCACTACTGAGCAGTGACGTAGCTAGGGTTATTAACGCCCGGGACTACATCTAAGTCTAACATTGTAACATGATTGTAAACACAAATTCTCACTTACGTTGTTTTTTTTGTTTTCGATTCATATCAGAATCTGGCAGAAGTAAAATTTATTGGCGAGAGCTATTCCCCTTTAAGACTTATTCATCCAACGTGTGATTCGCATTTAAAACAGTAATTATCGTGGGTTAAAATTGTGAAACGCGCTGTTCACTAACTTTTAAATCAAATTAAATCTCGAAACTCTTTCAATACCAATATTCATTAACAATATTTAAACCATGATTCCTCTATAAAGGTGAGTCTCATACTACTCATAGAAGCGTGAGGCCTGGGCAGTGCCTTAAGAAGGGTTCACCTCGTACCCCCAGAAGGGCTCACTGCACACCATCTGATGTGCTCACCTCGCACCCCCTGAAGGGCTCACCTCGCACCTTGGAGGTTTGGATTAACTCAATTATGCGCAGTCTTATTGCGCCCAATAAAAAACGTCATTCAAAAAAAAAAAAAAAAAAAAAAAAAAAAAAAAAAAAAAAGTCATTCAAAAAAAAAAAAAAAAAAAAAAAAAAGTATATAAAAAAAATTGACTAAATTTGAGAAGGGCAATCGTGCATGTTTACAGTTTTTATGAGTAGGCCGACATGTAGTTACTACATTGTGTCCTCGTTATCCCAGGACCTTCGTTAATCTTATGTGGCATAGTTCCAATTAGCCCCACTCCCCCCCACACACACACAAATGTGAGTTTCTGTTTAAGGAGTGAATTTCTTATTAAAGCATGACTTACCTTTTAAACATTTTCTTCCTCCTTGAACAAATAACCCAGATGAGAGCCACCAGGAGGATAAGTAACAGGACACCGCCCGCTGCACTGCAGCTGGCTATTATGATGATCTCACGTTCTGATAGAGGACCGTCATCACCTGCACCAGGACCTCAAAGACTATATGTGTTTTAAAAAATGAAAAATATCCCCAATTACCCCCCCCCCTTTTTTTTTTTTACACACACACAAATTACCTGGGAGAAATAAAATTTCCCAAACAAAGGAAAAGAAATTAAAAAAAAAAAAGAATAAAAAAAATAAGGGACCCCCTTTTTTTTTTTACACACACACAAATTACCTGGGAGAAATACTATTTCCCAAACAATGGTAAAGAGATTTAAAAAAGAAATGAGTAAAACAAGTATGGGAATACCTGTAAAAAAAAAAGGATTGCAACAAAACAATGAACGTGTCGACAGGAAGCCTTCGTCGACGAACAAACAACAGAAAAAAAATTAATATTTTTTTTTAAGCACTTAGCTGAAAAGTAGTATCCGAGAGTGCAGCAAAAAAAAAAAAAAGATTAATAGCACCAATGCCAGAATAAACGAAGTCCGGAGGCCCTTAGGCAGTCAATTTTTTGGGGGCCACATAAAAAAAACAAAACAATCTCTTAA